GCCTAATGCAACCATCCCCTAATTCAAAATGAAGTGAATCAAACATTTAAGCTTTTATGACTTTTAATGGTAACCATGGATTAGAGAAACTGAAGAAGAAACTTAGAGGTGAAACTATTTTCCTTTACAAATGGAGACATACAGTTAAAAACACAATGATTTAATATTTCAAAGACATAAAATAAATGGAAAAAAATTAACATTAAATAAAAACAAAATAGTGAACAACCAATAAATAAATAAATAAAAATAACATGCTTCCTTTACTTGAAATAATTAATTTTCACATTAAATTAATTAAATTAATTTCACACAAAATTCAAAATATCATTATACGTTAATGTTTTTACGAATAGGACATCCAATTTAAATCCTATTTTAATATTACTGTTTATCATTATTTCTATCAAATCATTTTATGATCAATATGAAAGAAGCTTATTTTTTCGCCTGTTCGGATAAAAAAGAAACTATCATTATTATTATTGTATTATCGTACATTGTAACAGTTGCGTGTTTTACAACAGTAGAAACTTGTATTGACTTTATAATCACTGCAATTTTCCAACAATAACAATCCAAGGTCATTTGAGGCTTACGATTTCCCCATTCATTCGTCATAACAAAAATTTATATAAGTGAATGATTTTTTCTTTCTTTCGTCTATTATTTTTTAGTCGTGTTCTTTTTAACATTGTTCATTTATAAAAAAAAATGTAGCAAGGTGCCGAGCCTTCGAAAATGCAGCTCGCTAATTAGTATTACATAATGTGGCAACACTTCATATTGTTTCAGAGTGAAAGAAATAAAAAAATCTTTGTATCTAAAGACGAAAAAAAAATTTTTGCGGAGAAGTATGTTAATGAATCAAACTCTTGAATTCGAAATCGATTCAACATTGAACTCTGCTCACTGGAATTTATCTAATCGTTTTCAATTAGAAATATTTAATGTATTTATTAATTGATTTATTGTTCTTTTCAAGGTATTGGATGAAGTAAAGAATTTCTGTGTGATGCAACATTTTTTTTATTCTATTTTAAGATGAGTCTGTTGTATTTTAAAATTTTTATTACCATTACTTGCTGTAAATTCTCATAAGTGATAAACTATGCTTCTAACTATGCTTTCTAACTATTGTTTAAGAGGGATATATGCTTGTCGTAAGTATTACAAAGAAATATATTTTTAATAATGGAAATTATAAAATATCAAACAAAAACAAATTCATAAAATAAATTGTGGATTTTAAATTTTATTTATTCCAATTATAGCATTTTAGATTAAGAACGGGACAAAACTGCCTGGGCGAACATCTGGACAAAATAGGGATTATGAATTCTGTTCTGACTGTGTTTTATGTAAGACAGAGAAAATGAATAAGGCCCATCTACTTGTTTGCTCGGGACTGGACTTACGAGTACAACAGAATGATGATTTGTATACTTTTTACTGAAGTGCCAGAGAAAACACGCAGACTTTCATTATGGTGCTTCTAGCTATTTTGAATTTTATCCTTACAACATTTAACTTGTTTTTTAACTGTTTTTAAGGTCATTTGGTCGTTTTCGTTAAGAACATCTGGTGTTTTCTTTTGTAATTTTGATTTGTTTGTATGCTCTTTTTGTTTCTATGGTAAGTATGATCTCTCTTTAAAATTTGTATGGCTTGAGTTCCAATATATATATATATATATCTATATGTATGGCCTTGTTTTCCACCAATGTATACTATAAACAGCCCATGCGCATGAGTGCCCATTGTCTCGGCATGTCCTATCAGAGAAAGGTTGGAAAGCTTCCACCAATTTTCCTGACGCGTTTACACACTGTCACGATAGCCTTCGAGTCTACTCGTGTCTGACAGCAGTGCCGGCAAATGACGCCACAGCAGATTCGAAGCCGACTCCTACACACTAACACTGCAAGTTACCTCTGAGCCATGAATTAGGTGTAAAAATATATTTCACACAAGGAAATAAATATTTAATTTTCCGCATGTAAAAAAAAGATACATTAAACAGAAATGACATTACAATTCATTATTTAAGATGAATTGGTATTTATTTAAGTAATATAAGCACATTTATTTTCATGGAAACAAGTGATGAAATTATATTCTATAATTTTCAATACACTTACAAAACAATTTATTTTTAGTATATACCATATGATTGAAATGATTTAAATTTTTCACTACGATGGCTAAACACATGTATGATTTGTTCGGATATGATCTCGACTGCTTACGGATATTATCCGAAAAGAAGCTCATGCATTGTAAAGAATGTATTGGAGCATGAAGTCCAACGCTCACGAAATGAACGCTCACGAAAATTTGAATTATGGTCTCTCTTTAAAAGCCGTTCTATTGAAATAATATTTTGCGCGTGATCCCAACATCTGTTTCGTGCTTCAAAGGTTCTGGCATTCCATTCTGGTAATATTTAAACACAGCATTGCATTTCCGTCAATTATGCACGTCAAGGTAAGATATGATCTTCTTTAAACAATAAATGAAAGTATAGTAATCGAAATTAAATCTAATACACCTGCATAATTTAAGAGCAATGTCTCTTGATTTATATAGCTCAAGTGACTACACTCTTTAACCTGTAAGTTAAGTATACAGGTTAAACAGTGTAACCTGCCTGTAAGTGACAACGTTGTTCAACCTGTATACTGTTTTTCACCCACATCGATCAAATTAAGGCTGCTTCCCCTCAAGGAAGCGTACCGAGCCCGATTTTGTATAATAGAGAGTTTTTGCGTAACGTTTTTTATTGTCCGATATTTTTTCTTCCTAGCTCGCATGCTCATAGGAATAGCTCAGTAGTGCAGTATTACAAATACACATGCGCAATAGATACAATGTTTTCTATGAGCATGCGCGCTAGAGAGAAAAAGATATCGGACGATAAAAAAAACGTTATGCAAAAACTCTCTAATATCTATACGTAAGATCTCCCTCAAATGGATTACGTAAATTCTTGTCTATATGCTGACTATTTACCTGCCCTAATGCAAGGCTCCACGCTCAGATTTGTGACAAGGACTCTACAAAAATTAATTCAGATGCTTAAAATATGGTTAAATAAATAGATAATTGCTTTCAACACAGACAAAAGTGAGGCTATAATTATTGGAAAAGGCAAGACAAAAATTGACTTTTTTCTTAAAACAATTTTTTTTTTTCAAATTATACTTTCTGTAACATTTTTCGGTAATTTAGCAACAAGTAAATGTTAGATATATTCATTACATTGCCTGTTAATATCTCTTAGCAAAAGATGCTACAGAACTTCACATATGCTTCAGCGGATAGCAAGGTAAAAAAGAATTCAGGCATGACTGAAATTGTTTACTATGTCGGTAAAATTGTACAAATATTTATATTTGATGTTTGACTAGCGAATGCAATTTACAATTTTGCTTAAAACAGCTTAGTATTAGGGAGCGGATAGTTTCGAAAGTAGGCTATAACTTACTATCTACACATAAGAAGGCCTAAAGGCCCCGTAGCTCACTGGCACTCGATGCCACTGGGTTCAAATACCGGCGGCGTCATGGATGTTTGTAGTGGTTCGGAATCCACATTAAACCGTAAGTCCCGGTGTTAGTAAGAGCATTGGACGTATCTGACAACTCTACCGCTTAAAAAGATAACACCTGCCGTCTTGAAATCAGCCAGTAAGCAGACGGCCTTTACCCACCAAGGGGCTATTGCGCCAATGAAGAAGAAGAATATTTATTTATTTTAATTACTATAAAATGTTAGTCCAATCACCGGAATTTGTTGCAAGAATTGTTTCTAACATTGGATGTTATTCCTCTTTGAAAAGTGTTGGTGTGTAAAGTGGAGAATTTTTTTTTTTACCCACTATAAATATGTAATGTGCAATGATTTGAATTTAAAGTACAACAAAAAAAAATTCAATGAAATATGCGCATTACAGTTATTGTTATTTTTCGAAATTACCTACATTAAAAATGAATTTGGGCAAGGATAAAACTTCAATTTTAAATGAAATTTTTAAAACGCACGCTTAAATTTCCACATACTTATTTACAATTTTCTAAATAATTTCATTCGATTTGCCAGCAGTTTTTAGAAATATATTCGAATCCGAAAGTACTTACTTCTATTCAATCTCTATTGAAGATACACGGGTGTGAAAATAAGGTGTCAGAATTGATCGCTTATGTTTAAACACCTGCTATGAAAACAAGGCGTGAAATAAAATGAAACAGCATGTGTCAGCGGGGGTGTAGCTCAGTGGTAGAGCGTTCGCTTTGCATGTGAAAGGCCCGGGGTTCGATCCCCCGCACCTCCAACCATTTTTTCCTGACTCCACAATTATTCATCCCCCCTTTTTTCCCTTATCAGTGTTGGCACTCTTTTTATTATATTTTTTTTTTCTTCATTAGTCATGCACTACATTAAACAATCAATTCTTAATTAATTAATTAACATAATTATTCACTTATTAATATATTATTTCAGTTCAATTTGGAAGAAAAATAAAAGCATAAAATTGAATAATAATTTATCCCCCATATTTTTAATTTTTTTATATTTATTATTATATTTTATTTTATTTAATAATATATTACCCCAACCCAAACTATTTTATTGAATAATATTTTGGATGAAATATTATTAAAATTGAATAATATTTAACCAGAATCAGCGTGGGGGTGTAGCTCAGTGGTAGAGCGTTCGCTTTGCATGTGAAAGGCCCGGGGTTCGATCCCCCGCACCTCCAGCCATTTTTTGTTTTCCTAATCCTACAATTATTCATCACAACTTTTTTCCCTGTCAATATTGGACTTTCTCTTTTTTAATACATTATTTTTCATCATTAGTTATACACTACATTAAACAATCAATAATTAAGTAATATAATTATGCACTTATTAATATATTATTTCGGTTCAATTTAGAAAAAAAAAATAAAAGCCTGCAATTAATTAAAATTGAATAATATTTGCTCCGAGCAAGAGTGTAGCTCAGTTATAGAGCGTTCACTCTGCACGTGAAAGCGCGGGGTTCGATCCCCCTCACATCCAACCTTGTTTTCTTGACCCCACAAATTTTCATCTCTTAATTTTCCCCTGTCAATGTCGGCGAAGGATCGACAGGGGAAAAAGGTGGTGGTGGCCCCTCGGTGAGCCAATAAAGAATAAAAAGAACACATATATATGAACTAATACTGAAAAACCGAGATTATGTGCTGTGGAGTTCACGTTTCAGTATGGATTATGTCACAGTATATGATCAAGTTTGTAAAATATCAATAAACCTATCTCACCATTTGCATTTCATTGGAACTATTTCATACATCGTAACTGATGAATTTCAACCCTAACAATTCCATTTATATATTTAGTAATAAATACGTTTCGAAACATTAAAAAACATTGCGAAGATAGAAGAGCATTCATCTGCGGGGGTGTAGCTCAGTGGTAGAGCGTTCGCTTTGCATGTGAAAGGCCCGGGGTTCGATCCCCCTCACCTGCAGTTTTTTTTTCTTGACCCCACGATATGCAATGCTTAGAAATGCGTTTCTGAACTCCAAATAATTAATGTAAAATTTCATAACAGGCGTGCTTGAACACATCCAGTTTTTTTAATCGAATATTTTCCAAGCAGACTTCCGGACAAGTCATAAAAAAAGAAAGAAATTGTGAAAATAACCATTATTCATTGTGATAAACGAATGAATATTTCATTCTGTAAAGGACAAGCGGATCATTACCGCAGCCATGTATCGGTGCGTTCATGTATCCGTTTCATGGCACTAATATTCTATTTCTAATGTCATTATCCTATTGATAGCACTCCCATACTTGCGCAAGGGCAGCGAAATGGCACTTGTAAAAAAAAGATATTACAGCTCTTAATCAATTGATATTTATGGTAAATGTTTTCTTAATGAGTCCTCAGTCAATCGAATCGAAGCCTGTTTTATGTCCTCGTAGGATATAAGGACGACATTTCACCCAGGAAGCCATGAATCACAGTCTGTCAGTAGACGATTCGGGAGCAGCAGCAGCAGCAGTTCAGGACGGCTGTTAGATCTTCTATAGCGCATTGAATGGCTGATTTTTTGTTATTTAAATCGGCAATAAAATGTTTTATGGACATAGCTCGAGCACAGGCGCATGAAATATACAATCGGCATTGAATGTCAATGAAATCAATTATCATAACCGGATTGAATGGTTGCAATAAAAAAGGATGTCAATAAAGTTTGGTTTTCCCTCATGGTGATATCTCAATAAAGAAACCACGAAATGACTAATGAAATTCAATTACAATGAGGCCTCATAACTTTGAAGTATGGATGCATGAAATTGTATGTAAAACAAAATACTACGTAGTTTCAAATTATACAAAGTAGATGAAATTTCTTATCGACAAATTGAGTTTGTGGCATTTTACAGAAACGGCTTCAAGAAAAGTTATATTAGAACCTGGAATTCCCCGTATCATAGTTATGAGCATTTTACAATAGTGACTAACATATTTAAAAAAAGAGGAGCCTGATGGCAGAGTGACTAGCACTTTGGCGCTCGGTGCCATATATTGCGGAGTCCCGGCGGTGCTATGGATGTTTGTGGTGGTTCGGAATCCACTTTAAGTCGTAATGGAATAATGATGACTGTAGAGCATTGAACATAAGGCTGTTAGACCTACCCTATAAAAAGTCATCGTCACGAAACCAAGTCAGACTGCTACCTACGGATGCTCCATCACAACAGAAGTTGGCTTATCCTTCCATGAGAATATATTGTTTCTTAGACTTGGTCTAGATGTTGCTGTCTACCGAGTGGAATAAGAAACAACAACAACAAAACAAAAAAAAAACAGATAAAACGGATAGAACGGATGTTGGATATTGGCTACAGAGTGTCCATATTCCATATTCCTTGCACCATATTCCTTGTAGAACACAGATTTAAAAAAAAAGATGGCGCAAATGGAAGACAGACTTCATATCTTCCATGACATTTGCATTAAAAACAATTTAGAAGAAAAAAATAAGCAGATTTTTCACAATATCTTCTTTATTTAATGAGTGAAAAAAAGAATATTTATAAAAGCATATATACACATTTAAAAACTTCATTAAACTAATTGTGAATCGTAATAAAAAAAATGCTGCTTTGATAAAAGTAACCAAAGACTTCTGTTTGTTTCAAACCGATAATTTTAAGGAGGTATTTAACTTTATAAAATCCTTAACCATTGTAAGTTATCACGGTTATTCAATATAAAACTGGAGTTAGTGTTACTCGCGTCCGTAGCATATTTTCAAGCTACACGTGCCCCCTGGGTAGTACTAAATGAGTAACATCAGTGCAGCCTTTGCTTATGGCATAAAGATTAACTCTCTCTGTATTTCCAGCTACATTAGAACAACAAAAACATCAATACAAAACTCCTGCTTTAAAATCAAAAGTTCACTTCGCAGAAAAAAATATATTGTTTACTTTTTTTATTTAAAATCAACAAAAAAGAAGTTCAGCGTTGTCTTCTCTAAAGAATCATAAACAATTCAAAATAAGATTTCATATTGGCATATAGAAAATTTTATTGAAAAAAAATTGTTGAAAATGAAACGTATTTTCCCTATGTAAACATAGTAAAATATTTAAATAAACTGATAGAATAAATTAATAAATGCAGAAACAAAAAATATGAATTGAATATTTAGAAAAAGAAAAAGACAACAAACGAATTAATGTAAAAGGATCACGAACGAAATTCAGAACGAATTTCGTTTTACAAAGACAAACGGACAGTCGGAAAATTATCATGTCTCGATACAAAAAAAAAAAAAAAAATAACGGAAACATGTCAGCACATTTAAATCTAAAAAACAGTAAAAGTTGAAGGTGCCAGAACTATGCTTCGCATATCTGCTGCAAGAACGTGCGAATCTGTTCAGCTTTTACTGCACTCTTTTCCTCATTAAAAGAACAGTAGCTCAAAAGAAACGGCGGAAGTTGTATATAGTTGTAAAAAATGGTGATGACTCATCTGAATCTATAGCGCTATTGTTCAGGAAATTGCGTCACAAGAGCGCTACATACAGCCCTACGGCTGCATGGAAAATTAAAACAGGTGGTTTCTTGTTAAGAACGTGTTCGAGTATTTAACACGGAAAGTTTATTTTCTTTTAGCAAGTTCGTATTGTGAAATTAATCTAGATTAGAGTAAGAACTCACTAAAAACGCCTTATTGTTTTGGTATCATGGAACAATCCTTGCTAGAGGAAAATTCCTTACATTTGAAATCAAATGTTTAATGTTAAATAAATGAATGTTGTTTAATGTTAAATAAATGAATGTTGTTTAATGTTAAATAAATGTTTAATGTTAAATAATGTTAAATAAATGAAATCAATTTAGGGATAGTATATCGTTTGTGATGAACATTTATGCAGTTAATATATATTAAATTTCAGATAAAGAATGTATAAAGAAAGAAAAAATATAATAAATGTAACTCTCTTATGAAAAACATTCATTATACTTATAAACGTTACAAGCATGGTCATAAATAAGATTTTAAGAAATATTTTCTAATATGGCTGTTATTTTCATTTCAGTGATATAAACTGTTTGGACCTGATGATCGAGTGACTAGCGCTCTGGCCCTCAGTGTCCCGGTGGTGTCATGAATGTTTGTGATGTTTCAGAATTTGCTTTAAATCGAAAGCGTTGGGCTGATAACCCTATATCGTAAAAAGTAAACATCTCCTGTCTCGAAAACTGCCAGTAGCTTTGGCCCATCATGGGCTGTTGTATCATAGAAGAAGAATATAAATGTTTAATTAGATTTTTCATGAGAAATACATCTTGAAAAATAAGAATATTTATTTATCTTTAAATATGTTGCTACCCAATGAAATTCCAAAAGCAAAATACTCTTACGAAAACATCGTCCTTTTGATTTTATCGTTGTTTCTCCTGTTTTATAATCTACAGCTCCAAAAGCCAACAGTTATTTTTCAGCCAAAAATAAGAAAATATTCTTATAATCTATTCTTTAACTCAGCGTCTGTTATTTAATGTAGTATTTTTCCTGTAATCTGTACTTTATATTCAAGTTCCGTTTTTTATATCCATAACAGAAAACTAACAAGACGTTTTTCAATTTTAAAAATCCTCTTAGATGTCATAATTATATAACAAAAAAAGTTTTATAAACTTAAGAAAGCGGGAAAAAGACATGCGTTTAAGAATTGTAATGATAACGAATGGCACTATATTTTCCTGACGATCTGTAATTATTATATTTGCCAGAAAGATGAAATTCTAGATCAGTATCAAAGTTAATCATTCATTTTATCTTAACGTTAAAACATTTTTAATTCTTATCATTCCGCGGCTTTTTCATCCTACACCGATTGTAAGATGCCAGTCACATTTTGTCGATTTCAACAAAAGTTCTACTCCTTCCCATCGTCCAAAATTATGATTCTTTTCTTTTAATATTTTGTATATTGTTTATTTTTCTCTCTCTAATAAAATTCTACCAGTTTTTGTTTGACAAAAAACATTTTTAAATGGTGGTTTTTATTGAATAGATTTATATAAAACTTCTGAAAAAAAAAATAGAGAGATTGTATGCTATGCCAGGTATCAGCACCACAAAATTCTAAGATCTTTTAGCATATAATCCATGAGTTACAGACAAGAACTTATAGTAATTTTAATTTTACGAATGTCACTCTTGGATTTGTACTTTTTGATGTTTGCGTCTTCAATATACAGACTGCCATCTTTACCAAGCTCAGCAAAAAAGAAATAGCTGAAAGTACTCATTCAAAAATGTAACTAAATTCATTTAAATAAATAAATATTCTTAAATTCATAACTTTTTTTTTTCATTTTCGAATAATAATTTTAATTATTATTTATTTATTTCTAAATTCGTTATTGTTTCATTGGCTGAGTTCCATGTATTGAAATATTATAATTTAAATTAAGTGAGTTTATCTCAAATCTCGTATTGAACATGTCAAAGTAGGAAAATATTAAATACATAGTATATATAT